AAAAAAAAAAAAAAAAAAAAAATTACAACAAAAACCGAGTATGACAAAGAGCCATCGAGATTATGGCAGTGCATTTAATGTTTTTTTTTATTTGAAAAAATTTTAAAAATGTATATATAGCTTACCCTTTTTAGTATCTAATTAATGATTTTGGCAGGAAATTCTTTCGAAAAATAATTTAACCTTAATCTTATTTTATATAGATAGATTTGACTCCATTATTTGAATAACTTTGAATGTAATCGGATACATGATTAGTGAAATAGTGAACGGAATATTGTGGTACTTTTAAAAACTTGTACAATGATTAGTAAATTTTTTTATTTATATATTTTGTTATTTTAGTCTTGTTTTATGAATGATTTAATTCCTTTCTTTGTTTAATTTTGAAATGAAATCTTTACAATATATTAGTACTTTTAAATGATTATTTAAATTGTATATATTGCATAAATATATGTAAAAAAAGAAAAATTTTAAAGTTCAAATATGATATTTAATTATATGCACATAGAAACATGTAAATCATATATCACTTAAAGATCAAATTTTGTATTTATCAATTTTATAATAGAACTTTTTTTTTATACCATGATTAGTGCATTTTTGTATTTATCTTGTTGATTCTTGCTCTCAATTTACGTCAGATTTGTTTCAATTCAAAACGTGTTGAATTTAATATTTTACAATATTAAACAAAACAAAATATTGGCACGTAGTAGAATAAATGATAATTTGTTGTTTAAATGATAATTATTAATAGAAAATACCGATATGAGTACAATATAATATTATATGTATATATTTATTTTATAAACAAATAGATTTAAACTAAAGGAATACAAATAATCAAATATATATATATATATATATATATATATAAACATATTTACTATCTTTTTAAAATAGTAACTAAATTTTGGTCAAATCTCTTTCTTCAATAATTATTTCCATTAATAGTAACTAAAAGACTAAAATACAGATCTATTTTTCGTTTCATATATCTGTTCCCTAACAAATCGGACATAAATCTAACTCACGCCATTAAAAATCGCTGAAAAATATTCACCACGATTAAAATATTAAAAGCCATGATTAAGGAATTTGAGTCACCGCAAACTCTTTAATTGCAGAAGTGCATGCCGTCCATGAGATAAACTAAGAAAATTAAATCAGATCCGTATTTTTTTATAATTTATTTAAAAAATGGGTATCCAATTGCAGATTCACATTTTTTGTGAACAGTAATTCAGAATCTTATTCGATCCACAATTACAGAGCACAAAACCAAAAAACATCAATTACAAAGCACAAAAAAAACTAAAAATTAAAAATGATGAGTAGAATATGTTTTTTTATCATCGATCTACAAAAACAAGTACACAATATATGTGTATTATGTGTTTGATCATCGATCTAATTGTTGTATAGAATAAAAAAATGAGGTGTGATATTTTTACATAAATTGAGAGAGAATAGAGAATAGAGAATATGGAAGAGAGATAATCGGGAAGAGGAAATGAATGTATTTTGGAGGGGCCCAATATATTGTTGGGTTAAATAAATGTGATCCTTATCTATATATATATATAATGAGAAATTTTATTTACAAATAATAACAAAAAAGTCAATCAACATTTATTTTATTTTATTTTTGGCAGTTTTTTTTTTTAAATTTTCCTTTTAAATTATTATTAAAAAATCAATTTGCTATATATGCATCCTAAATTCATGGGTTTTGTAAATTTAATTAGGTAAATTTTAACTGATGCTTACAATTTTGTAAATGTCAAAATTCTTTCTCATTTTTTGTTAAAAAAACTGTTGTAAATATTTTTCCGGAGTAGAATCAAAAGATTCGACACCGGGTCGTGTCTCACGAGGAA